CTGGAGCGCCGTCGGGTGTGCGCGCTTCGAATTTGGGACGAACGCAGCGATGATATCGAGGGATATCGCGACGCAGGTGGTAGTGACTCGCACGAGGAGGACGAAGACGAGACGGCGAAAGGATAGCGGGATAGGAACGCGCGGGCGCAACGGATCATCCCCTCTGGCACGGTCCATAAATGGCGCGGTGATCCGGGAATGCATTAACAACTTCGGCGTTATCAATTCCCGCATAATACCGCGCGTGGGAGACGCACCGCCTCGCTAACTTCGTCAGGCACGCCCGCGCGCGTGCGAACAGCTCGCCTCGGACGTGTTCTACGCGCGAGTATTACGTGTGCGACACGACGCACGTATCTACGTATGTGCACGCACGTTTCCACGCGCGCGCGAGTTTCACACCCCGAGGTAGGTTACCTACCTACATACCTACCTACCTATGAAAGCGCACGTGCGTGTGCGCACAGGAGATGGTGCCCTTAATCGGGACACCAGCGTGAAAGTAGCGATTACGTGCATGTGTACACGTCGCGAACGAACAGCACGGAGGAAATGTGTATGTGCACACAGACGCGTAGCGTAGCACACGAGCCGGCTGCACCGGCCTATTTAGGCGGCGAGCGCGCATTTGCGCTGAGACTGGGTACGTGACACATAATTCAAGCAACTCCATAACCAAGTTTGAAGTTATACCGGTCCCCGACCTTTCCCCTCTCACCCCTTTATATATAGTCGTTTCTCTCTTCACCCTCCCGATTTCTCCAGTATACACCGCTACCAATATAGTGCCGCCGTCTCCGCATTCTCCTCCTCTCCTTCTCCCCCTCCTCCTCTTCATCCTCCTCTTTCGCTGTTTACTCGCGCATTCGGAGGACCCGCGCAGAAATTTTCCTTTGAGTCATCGGCGAGACATCGGGGGTGCGACGCGAACTATTAGCTCCGGAATAGATTAAGCGACTGTAGGTATTCCCGGTTATTACGTGAAGGCGCGGACGCGGCGTTTAAAGCGCGCTTGCATTGGTCAAAAGCACCGTGCGGCTTCGCCGGAGGTATCGGTACAAAGCGGTATTAGCGTGAAACCGCGAGTCCTCTCAACCTTTGTGGAGGACGGTATGCCCGGGCGCAAAACGGTTTGCATACTTTTCATGGAATGAATTTGCAGCGCTTTATGCTGTCACAATTGCGAGCTACTACTAACGTGCATTTAACACATTAAGTGCGATCCATTAGACACTGGAAACGCTTTAAAGTGCTCCAACTGGTTTCGATACATTTGGTTTCGATACAGTTCGAACACTTTTTTTTATACATTTTATAACGTAACTGATGAGAGAACTTAACTTCTGGTAATTAATAAAAAAACAAGTTTTCTCGTGGATCATCGACTACGTTTTGAAGTACAAGAAGAAGTGATCAGATCGTATTGAGACAAAACGTACTCTCTTAAAGTGAATCAGTAAATAGTCACTGATATCAGTTATAAATATAGCACTGAGCAGTTTCAGTGCTATATTTATCATATGTATCAGTTATCAGTCATACGTTTCAGTATTTACAGCTGCAAATCAGTGTATATTTATTGCTTTCAATGATGTTTCACTGATTTACTTTAAGAGAGTAGTATATGCATGTATTAAACTCGGCAGATCAGATGTGCGTGTGTATTTTTGTTTAATTAGTTTTATGTTAAACTTCGCGCGCCCAAAGCACTTAAAAGCTTTGTTTAAAAGGACACCGGCGAAAATTGCGATCGCGAAACGCAAACACGCTTTGCGAGTCTCGATCGGGGATTATACGATAGATACACCAGGCAATTCCTCAGAATGGATTATGAGGCGAGTAAAGGTAATGCTCGCTTAAGCCCCTCCGCAAATAACGAATATACAAGGCGTCGCATCGCACGGTTTCGTCGGCAATATGGCGGGCTCGCCCGCGGCGATGCTCGCGAATCGGTCGTCTGATATTCGCTGACGAAACGAATTGCGTTCGCTCGTCTCTTTAACCAGTTTCTCGTAGTCCCGTCACGACTGAAATCGAGTCACGAGTGGGGACGGTACACGGCTCTCGATTTAAAGAGCGCCGCTGTAAACGCGGCCGACTGGAAGATTTCTCGCGCGACAAGTCGTGGTCTCTCGCTGCAAAAATCTCCTAAAGCGGCGCGTCGTTTCCTCTTATTGCCGAGACGTGTCCTGCCATGAGAGACTTAACTTTAGAAAGGTAGTGTGACTAATTTTTACTCATACGAAAAGTCCTATAAGCTCTCCCTCTGGTATTGATTTCATCACTCACTTAAGTGTACGTCATTGCTTCTTCATGCTCTCTTAACATGAATCAGTAAAAATGTCTCTACTTGAATCAATAAAAGCACTATTTCACCGATGAATATTCACTGATTTCCAGTAAAAACTCTTCTACTTTACTGCCGCGTCTTATGTCTCACTGATTTTCATTAGTGGAAGTAAGATTCCATCGTGAAATCTGTGATACACAAATTCACGTCAAAATATACGTCATGTCGAATACAACGTTTAGTATTGGTGGAATCAACAACTTTCATATGTTTTACGTGCAACAGCAGTGTTTGTATTCGCTACACTGTCCTTTTCACAAGTAAACTTATCCAAAAGGTATACTCCAATTTCTTTTTAATTTGACACAAATGTAGAAGTACAAAAAATATTTAGGTCATATTTTTTTTATTTTGACCTACTTTGAGTTTCACGGGCAGTTTATAGCTTTTTAATATTCTCACTCTTATCAACAACAAATACAACAAAAATGCATAAGAAATACAAATTGAATACAAGACAGTTAAATAATTTTAATAAAATCGCCATAGCTAAGACATAAACCATTCTAAATTTCTTTAGCCGAGATTCCAACCGAAATATTTTAAATCTGTGCTACATTAGTCAAAAATGATTCGAATCTCGGCTAAATCGAAATCCGGTAATTTTAATTAAAATTTTAACAAAATCGGCATAGCTGATTATACTTTACAAAGTAAGAGATATTACATTTGAATAAAAAAAACCCTCATTCCTTAACGTACCATAGGTTATCTCACTATTGTTTTAAGATTAAGTTAGTATGAATGAAAGTTAGTCAAGCTCAAATTTCTCAAATTAATTTAAGGTAAATTCTAGTAATTGATACACTTAAATGTATGTGCGAGTGGATTGAGTAGAGGAGATCGAGTCAGGTCGGTCCAAGAGTTATATTCGCCACAATTTGATTTATTTTTTTTTTTTATTGGAACGACCGTTCAAGATAAAAGCTTCTTTCGCAGAAAGAGAGAGAGAGAGAGAGAGAGAGAGAGAGAGAGAGAGAGAGAGAGAAAGAGAGCCTGGCCGTCGATTTATGCGCGAATATATTCGAATGAGCGCAAACACACTCTAGCAATAACTTCGGACGTAAAATTGATATCCGCCATCAATCCGAGCCTGAAGCGCGACAGACAAACGAACGCGCGGTAGACGAACGAAGATAAAACAGCAAAGTTTCATGAAGCAGCGTTTATCGCGCTCGCGGAAGACGGCTGTTTGCGTTGGCCGTCGTAGCCGGCGAAAGGGCGAAGCCTACGGGGAGCCGAGAGGCGGCAGTCTGTAAAATCGTCCAAATCGCCTTCCGTTAGTCGATACGGCACGTTATTTTTTTCCACTCCTGCCGCGGCACCTCTCTCGGCTGAGAGAAACGAGCGACTCGAGAAGTCGAAACTTTTCATCGAGAGAGAAACTGGTAAAGCGAGGAGACGGAAAAGGAGGTAAGGTGGGAGACAATCGGTCGAAAGAAACCGTCGATTTCCTGTCCCTCGAGTTCTGGCTATGCCAGAAGCGTTGAGGAAGCAGCAGCAGCGACAGCAGCCTCTGGAATTGCGCGAGCAGCGCTGCACATAATCCCGCGGTAATAGCTTTCGATAGTTACGATTGCTCCGATAATTGCAACGGCGACCATGCCGCGTTTTTCGCGAGAAGTTCGAGTTACCGAAGACAACTGCAACGCCTCGCACCGGCCCCTTTGTTAGAATATATTGCGCGCTCGCCAAGGGAAAACTTCCTGATCTGATTTGCCTCGCGCTAATAAATGAAAAATCCGATACTTGGCACTTAAACGCCGCCACTTGCGCTTTTCGACGCGGACGATTCATTCGTATGCGCCGTCGCTTGTGTTTTATCTACCTTATACATATTGGCTTTCCGAACTTTCACCCGCGTGCAAACATTTCACTTTGTTTATTTGACGATTCGGGCGATGAATAGCGTTAGTCTTTTTTTCTTTGGTTACACGACATTTTCTCGAAAACTAGATGGGAAAATGTTGGTATCAACAAAAATCCCTAAACAACACAATTTTAATTTTTGCGAATTAGTCACACTATTGAAGTAGTAAGTCCATGAATTTTACGAAGTCGTTTTGACATATGCGTGTGTATGTGTCAAATAACAAATATTATATAACATAAGTGCATTATGACATTTAATTGAAAAGAGAATAAATAAAAAGTACACAAATAAAAGAGAGTAAAAACAAAGTGCATAGAAATGAATAAGATGAAAAAGTGGTTTATATATTTATATATAAGAAGATAAATTATTTCAAACGTAATTAAATTACGTAATTAAATTAACGTAATCATTAGCTTTTCAGTTTTTTGACGTGCTTTAATAAACATTATTTATGATTGAAACATCGTTCTTCGCATTGGAATCATAATTACATTTAATTACGTTTAATGTAATAATTTATCTTCTTACATATGAATATATAAACCACTTTTTCACTTTGTTTATCTCTATGCACTTTGTTTTCACGTATTTGTATAATTTTTACTTATTCTCTTTTCAATTAAATATCACAATGCACTTATATTATATAATAGGGTCCGCCACCAAAATCCGAACAAAATGAACAATTTGTTTAAATAAAATTCTACTCATCAAAATGTAAAACTTACAAAAGAACTTTTTGTGTATCACTAGTGGTATCCTTTTAGAGTAAAATTACTCTATATAACCCCCTTTTGCTTCGATGACTGCTTCGATCCTCATCCTGAAGCGCTGGCACGCTCTCTGCAACGCGTCCTTGTCTATATTGGCGAATGCTGCTTCGATAGCGGTTTGGAGAGATGTCACATTGGGATGTCTCGACTTGTTGGTCACTCGTTCAATGACGCTCCACACGTAATAGTCCAACGGATTCAAATCTGGACTGTTCGGAGGCCAAAATTCCTTTGACCAAAACATGTCCATTTTATCCGACAGCCAGTTTTGCACTAAGTGACTCGTGTGCGCTGGCGCGCCGTCTTGCTGGAAGACGTACGGCTTCCCGGCGGCCACGGTTTCTATCCACGGCTTCACTATCTTCGTCAAAACGTGTAAATATACTTCTTTTGTGACGGTTTCTTTTTTTTGAAAGAAATGTGGCGGCATGACGTGACCCTCACTGGAGACAACGGAGACCGTCACTAGGACGTGAACAGAGACCGGAAACTTCGTCCTAGCTATTATGGGCACATCTTCGGGGTCGCGGGCGAGCCAACGGTCGTTCCTCCGGTTCACCTTGGCATCGACAGAAAAAATTTTTTCGTCCGAAAAAAACCTGATGCGTCCCGCAGCTTCGTTTTTTAACGAACACAGAAGCAAGTTACAGCGAGCAACTCTGTTCATCTTGGCAGCCTCAGAGAGCATTTGTCGAACTTTTATTACATAGGACTTGAAGCGTAGGTCCTCTTCAGCAATTCGACGCATTGTAGTGTCACTCACACCCAATGTTTTGGCCAATTTCGTTAGAGACAGCCCTGGGTCCTCTGAGATGAGCTCTTGAGCTCTTTCGATAATTGCTGGAGTCCTTACTGACTTTTCTTTCGAATGGCTCTTCCTTGTCGGGTTGGCAGAACCTTTTTCGGACGTCTCCGAAGCCAAATATTTAGCCGCAACGTCATATACGGTCGATCTCGGGTACCCGAAGAACCGAATAATTTCGGTCCGCGAACGCCCAGCGCGAAGGCCTTCAATTATCGCCGCTCTTCGATTATACTCTGCATTCGATCTTATCTGTTCGGACATTTTGAGGTTATGCGCACTTACTACAAACATCTGACTTGCCCGAACATCAACAGTGACCTACCACCGAAGTCTAATTAGGCGGGAAATTCAAATTGAAATTTGTCCGGATTTTGATGGCGGACCCTGTATAACAATAGTTATAAAGAAATAGTTGATTTTACTGATTAGGTGCGCTGCGAGAACGTAGCGCACTTTTTTTTAAAAGTCTATTTTTTTGTTTTTAATGACCGGAACTATGTAAAATTGTTGCATAGAACTCTAGAACTTTTCCAGAGAGTATCAGAACTCTAAAAAATATGACATTTTTTTTGCAGTTCTGAGACTCTATTGAAAAGTTCTAGAGTTCTATGCAACAATTTTACATAGTTCCGGTCATTAAAAACAAAAAAAAAGACTTTCAAAAAAAGGTG